AAGTGATTCAACATCTTTGAATTTGATTAAAATTAATTATGTTTATTCATATTTATTTGTTTTCCAATATGATGTTTAGACTAGTGTAAAGAATGATAATAATGTTAAATGATTATGGTAGGTATATCTGATGGTCGTATTGTTGGCGGGATCTATGTTTCTATGAGTTTTAACTGTTTGAAAAAGTATATGTGTTCGAACTTCCATCCCATACAAACTTTCTCTTGAAGAAAAATAACTTTATAAAATTGAAAATATTATTTTTAAATATTAGATTTGAGGTTTAGACTATTCTATTCAATATGAGAGCCCTTATTGGATATTTGTTAATGGACTCGCATCAAGCTTGTTAGTCTTAATTGGATAAATCTATAGTCAAACTAAAACCGATTAAATTTGGAAAATTATTTTAACTTACAACATGGTGTACCTAGCGTRCGCCAATTGATGGCATAGTCCCATAGTTTAATATGTGTTGTGATTCAATTTGGCAATTGTTTTTAAAATTTGTCTAGAATTAACAAAAAAACTTGTATAACATTCAAAATAATACTGTGATAAGTTATTTCATGTACCTTGAGTACGCTATTGAAGGGAATAATCCCAGAATACAATTTCATCACTTTCAAATCTTCGTAAAATCTCCATGAATTGGCATTTTTGAACAAATATCAATTTTAATAAAATAACTAGTATTAAATTGAAAATATTACTCTCATATTTTATTTGGTGTAACTAGTTTACGCTATTGAAAGGGATAGTCCCAAAGATTATTTTTTAATAGTCTACCACACAAATTTTAACAACGGATCTTGTATAAGGCAACTTCTTAATTTATATTTTTTATTGTAAACTCACTGGCAACTCACTGGCAACTCACTGGCTATTCACTGKCTATTCACTGGCTATTCACTGGATATTCACTGGCTATTCAMTGGCTATTCACTGGATATTCACCGGCAACTCACTGGCTACMCACTGGCTATTCACTGGCTATTCACTGGCAACTCACTGGCTATTCAMTGGCTATTCAMTGGCTATTCACTGGMTATTCACTGGATATTCACTGGCAACTCACTGGCTATTCACTGGCAACACACTGGCTATTCACTGGCTATTCACTGGATATTCACTGGCTATTCACTGGCAACTCACTGGCWATTCACTGGCAACTCACTGGCTATTCACTGTCAACTCACTGGCAACTCACTGGMTATTCACTGGCTATTCACTGGMTATTCACTGGCAACTCACTTTTTT